TTGTCGCCCTCCCCCGCGGGCTACAACGGCTGCATAACTCCCCTCCTAAGCCATCAGCCCGTTGGGTCCTTCCTCGAGACCATAGTCTATTTGGTCCCAAGAAAGTGATTCGACACCTCCTTCTTCAAAGGTCAGAAGGAGGTTGTCTTTCCCAGGTATTGATCCTGAGATGGTGTGGTTTTGCCATCTTTTGCCCGCTTGCAGATCTTTCCAATAGTGGCAATAGTTGGCTTCAGCCAGAAATCCTGCATGGTCTAAGGCAATCTTACTAAATTTTTGATAGGTCATCCCCTCTTCTTTAGTGCGGGGATATAACTGAGTTCGGACGGGATCAGGTAAGGCGTGAGCAAAACTATTCAAAACCTGAGCCGGGGTAACTGAGTTCGGACGGGATCAGGTAAGGCGCGAGCAAAACTATTCAAAACCTGAGCCGGGGTCGAACCATGTTCAGTGCACTGCAACAACTTATCCATGGTAGCTTTTAGTGCCGACGTGCTTTTCCACTTCCTGTCAGGAAGGTTCAAGATTAACATTTCTGTTCTTCGGGCGAGACTCTTATCCTCGAACCTCTCCCTGACGGCTTTAAGGAAGTCTTCAATACGGGTTTGTTGCAAGAATTTAACCATTGAACTACATCCCGCTTCCTTCTGTAATGAGATTGCAAAACTCATAGCGTCATCGGCCATGCACGAAGTGGCCATCAAGACTCTATCCCAATAAGGAATCCGCTGTCCGTAGACATAGGACTCTACAGCCCCCATCCAATGCAGTACGCTTTCTTCCTTTTTGCCTGTATACGTCCATGGAATTTTAACTTTAATTTTATTGCTAGGCCCTGCTGCTTCTTCACGCAGCTTCCCCTTTTCTTTTCGGTCGCCATCGCCTCCATCTCCGTCCCCATCACCGCCTCCTCCTCCACCGCTGCTTTCACTATGTTCTCAATCACGGCTGGAGTGAAGGTTTGGGTGATATGATCATCCAGTTTTTTAATATAGGATTGAATGTGCAGATCTACATCTTTGGCGGATTTCTGCAGAAAAGTATTCCATACATTTTCAAATTCCAGTTGATTCGTTTCAACTTTCTGCAAGGTCCGGTTGATTGCAGCAACTTCCTGCTTAGTATGGAGAACTGTTTCAGTTAGGAGGGCAAGTTTTTCTTCAGTAGCTGCTTGTTTTTCCTTTTGTGCCCGCAGCTCGTTGTGTAACCTCGCCCCCTCTGCTTGCAGCCTTTTCCTATCATCAAGCTCTTTGCGTTTTGCCGCTAGCATTTTGCTGTGCAATTCAGTGCGTTTTTCTTCCAGCATCAGTTCTTTCTCCCTTTGATCTGTTACTGTTGCTAACCTTGCTATGAATATGTCTCGTTCTTCTTCTGTCTCTTCTAGTTTGTCACTGGAGTAAGAATACTGGTCATACCAGTCCAGTTGCTTGACAAATGGTTCACTCGTCTCGCCACCTTCTGCACGCCGCCTGACAAGTCTCTCTGTTCCTTCTTCAGATCCTTCTTCTTTTTCTTCAATAGTCTGCATTTCATCCTTTATTTCCTGTTCCCATTTTCCTTTTAACTTCCTTTTCATTTCTTCTTCTTCTACCTGTGCCTTTTTCTTTAACTCCTCTTCTTTCTGTTTCTTTCTCTCTTCTTTTTCTTTCTTCTTGGCTGCCAGCCGGCAGTCTATCTCAGCCTGCTCGGCAGGTGTGGGCCCTGGCTTCATTGTTCCTGATTTCAACATCATGTGGGAGGTGCACATCCTCCCAAAACCCAGAGGAAACATCATTTGGAATAGCGGGCCCAACAGCACTGAAAGGACCATCAGGCCCTGCATAGGGAAATCGTCCACCATGGTGGGACTTAGCACAGGCAGTCCTCCGCAGGTCCCACCAGGTAGGTCTCCCAACTAGTCTCAACTTACTGTTTGTGGATGTGGATGGACTTAGGAAACTTTTCTTGTCTGTTTTTTTCCTTTTCTTTTGAACCCTGGGTGTCACTGTGTTAAAAATAACGAATTAATACTTTTTTTTTTTTTCCCTGCTGTTTGCCTTCAGATGCAATGTCGAACTGATCAGAATACTATTACAGGTCAAGGTCTGCTTGATACCTTCTACGGTTCACTGGCTGGGGAAAACCTTTTTCACTTTCCTTTATGCACGTCCTTTTTATACTAACTCTGTCTGTTATCCTGTTGTGCAGGTAATCCCTGGAGTACGCACTCAATCAGACTCGGCACTTTGCTTGTATCTGATATGGCAACCTGTCGTGTCCCTATCTAACTACTGCGCAGACTCCAGACCAGAGGGTGGGAGAAGCGTAGGACTCTGATCTTCTAACAACTCTAAACTCCCATAGGACAAGTCCCTTTGACTTCGACCACCCAGCCTCTAGACACCATGACCCGATTTGACAGCAGCAGCAGTGACCCCAGAGAGGATAAGGAGAAGAGAACACACGCATACAGCCAGGTAGGAGGGTAGGGGTGCTTCTCTCTTGGCAGCGATCGTTGGTGAAGGCTCCTCGTCGCTCCGCACTCCAAGCTCCAGGTACGTAATCTTCTGCCCCTTCTACCTCGGCCTACTCCTCCCCTATATCCCTGTCCTCCACTCTTTCCACCATCACCAGCACAGTCACTCAAGCCGGCGGTATTCCTTCTTCCTTCTCGCCGGCCTTACTCATGCCAGCGCAGTGAGTACAACAAGTAACAGCTCCGATACCAAAATTTGCAAGGAACCGATCTGTTCACCGCTTGCTTGAGAGCATCACATTACATGCATCCATGTCATCACACGTGCGAATAGTCTCACACAAAGAACTGAACAGAGATGAGATGAGGACCAGTAGCGCAGCTTATATTATTAAAATTCGTTTGAATACGAGTAACATAAGTTCCAGATATCAGTGCCCATGAAAGGTAAGTCTTCCTCATTACACAACTAACGAGAACTGGTTCTACCAGTCTCCCCCTTCTGGTATCACA